AAGAGAACACAAGTGTTGGCTACCTTTGCATGGGCACAAATATCGACTATAATCATTACTTCTTTTAAGTGTTTTTGTGTGATCGTCTCTTATCGTGAATCTTGCACTTGCAGTAACTACAACGACATTTCTTATATGAACTGTCAATACCAATATATATATATATATATATATATATATATATATATATATATATATATATATATATATATATATATATATGAGAAAAAAAAAAGGTTGAGAATGGGGGAATCATTCTCAGCCAATCATTTATTTTTGCCGCAAAAGTCTCCAACGTACCGGCGAAAATGGGAAACGAATGCACATGTGTTTTCTAACAAAACATGTTTCCTTAAACTATGCTAAGCATTACCTTAATATATACAAAAACATAGTTTTGTCGTTTTTTTTTTATTTTTTAAGAAGCTATTTTTATCGAAAAATGATTTTAAATATATACCAAAATTCATGATTTTTTATTCTCTACAAATAGACATCCATATTGATATAGTTTTAAGATAAAATAATTTTTTTTTTATATTTTCAGCTATCGTTATTCATAAGTGAATAAAAATGAATCAGGTTTTTACTACAGTACATTCGTTATTCACTTATGAATAAAAACTATGATTAATTTTTTTTACAATTTAAGTATCATTCATATATGAATATAGCATATACTAAACATAGTATATTCATATTTAAATATTAGACGATGCATTCACTTGTGAATATTACATAGTATATTCACTTGTGAATGTTAGATGGTATATTCACTTATGAATATTAGATGATATTTTCATATGTGAATATTATATAGTATTACATGGTATATCACATGAGAATAGTACATAGTATATTCACTTGTGAATATTAGATCGTATATTCACTTATGAATAATAGTTGGTATATTCATATGTGAATATTGCACAGTATATTCATATATGAATATTACAAGGTGTTCTCAGAAATATATATAATTTTTATATGTTATTCACATATGAATAACATACAGACTTGCATATTTGTTTTGTGTTTTAATAATCACATATTGATTCAGGTGAGAAAACATATTCATATGTGAATATAACGTGGTAATTTAGTTTATGAATTTCATCAAACAGTTGGAGTGCATACAAGTTAACTTTTTTTAAAAATGTGATAAATATGATACTTTGACTATTTAAATCTTACAAAATAGTAGATTGGTAGAGAAATATATGAAAATTTTCAAACAAAAAATGATTTGATCTTTTTCTAACCTTAATTTCGATATTTTATTTGATGAACGATGTTGAATGAATGATACAAATTGAATTTTTTGTTGATTATCGATGATGTTGTTCTAATGATGCTGGGAGTATAATTAATCGTAGATGTTGAAGATATGTTCGTATTCAAACAGAGTCTAATTCTCTACACTTACGTATTTGTGATTAAAGGCTATTATATCATATTTACAAGTTTGCCACCGTGTCCTTTATGTTTAGAGGCTAATTAAATGAGTGGCTGAGAATGATTCCCCCATTCTCAACCTTTTTTTTCTCAATTGAACCCACCTCTATATATATATATATATATATATATATTATATATATATATATATATATATATATATATATATATATATATATATATATATATATATATATATATATATATATATATATATATAGGGAAAAGTTCAATAGAGAACCAATATGGATCAAAGAACCAAGGAACCCATCTTAACCATTTATTTTCATTTAATCTTGGCCATTAATCCTTAATTAACCAGAAAAACACGGAGGGGCATTTTGGTAAGTTCAACGTCTCATTTAATATTCCTGTTTGTTTCTGCTAGCGTCTTCTGTTAGTGTCCTTCATCTTCTAACACTGATCGATCCAAAATCACGCATGTTCTTCGAAATCTCGACCTTTTTCATCCAATTTACTAATAGTTTCATTTAATATTCCTGTTTGTTTTTAAAATAAGGGATTTATGGATTCCGGCTTTTATGAGAGATCTTGAACTTTCTGGTTTGATGCGAACTACTTCAAGATCAGAGAGTCTGAATTATGCTTTCTCACATTTTTTGCATCATAAATCAAATTTGGTGAAGTTCATGATGTCGTTTGATAGTGCAATGGAGAAGCAAAGGCATCAACAATCTTTATTAGATTATTAGTCCACAACTACTACCCCCAAGCTAAGGACTCCTTTGGCTATTGAAAAGCATGCATCGGAAATTTATACACATAATATTTTCTTGGACATTCAGAAAGAGTTATACAAATATGTGTATTATTGTGTTCAAAAATCTGTAGTTATTGAAGATGAAAGTGAAGTTTATGTTTTGAGAGATAAGAAGAAAAAAAAAGTTGATTGATAAAAATGTGAATGAGGATGAAGATTATGATGATTTTTATCGAAATAGTCTTCCTTCTCATTGTCCTAATACTCGTTACAAGGTATGTCTCTTTGTCCTAATACAATTTATTAAATATAAAATGTAGTTTAAAAATTCACACTGTGAATGTAGGATGTTTTGCTAATTCACAGTGTGAATTTTTATAGAGTTATAAATTGGTTTGTACTTTTCATTAGATTAGTATGGAATATGTATTTTTTTGTGAATTTGATTTGAAGTACATATTTATATTATAGTATTATGATTTCTAATGTCCTGTTGATTAATAATGTGAATCGATGTTAATTTGTATAATTTTTTATCGAATGGTATGATATAGAATTTCTTATTCACATATTAATTTGTTTATTAATGATAATTTTGTAGGTTGTATTTAGTAGAAGGGGTGATAGCATTAGCATCAGTTGTAGCTGCATGCTTTTTGTCCAGGAAGGATTGTTATGTCGTCATATGTTTTTCATATTAAATATGAAAGAGTATGATGAAATTCCATCAAATTTCATTTTCAGGAGATGGGGAAAAGATATCATAGCTGATGGATTGTTGAGAAAAAAGTACTCATATCCTCATAAAGGCAGTAAAAATGGATGTTTGATTCAAGATGTGTATGCTATTCTTCGTTTGTCCATTAACAAGATAACAAATAATGAGGATGAGTTGGCTAAATATATAAAGCAACTTCAGGAGGTTGATAGTGGTATTCCTTTATGAACCTCATCAAGGGTATCTTCGAGTAGATCAGTTCACATTGAAAAAATTATTGGAGCTGCAGTACCTGATGTTATCAACATTCATAATCCAGAGGGGATCAGAAACAAGGGATAGGCCAGTGGTAAAAGAATCAAGAGCACTAGAGAGAAAGTGATTGAGAAATCTAAAAAAAGGGTTCTAGGTTGTGCAGTTTATGTCATAAACCAAATCACAATGCTACGAGTTGCATTTTGAGGTTAAAGAAGTCTGATTTAGAATATGAGGTTACAGAAGGCTGATTGTTTCTAATTTTTTCTTTTTAAGACTACTAAAATAAGATTTGATTTTTGTAATGATCATTCAATGGATAGAAATGTTGAAATATAGATGTTAATTTTGATATTCATTGTTTTAGACTTTATTTCTAATAATAGAATATATTTTTTTTCAAATTTATTGTTTTTGGTTAAAGATATTTTTTTATTGTTAGTTTTTTGAATCTTTTCTAATAAAAATTTCATGCTAATGATTTAATTTATGTATATTATTGTTAATCTCATATATAAAATTTTCATGTTAAAGATTGTATTAATGTAATTTAATTCACATAGTGAATCTCAACTATTAATTGTTCTAATGATCTATATGTACCATAATTCACATTGTGAACCTCACATATAAAATATACATGTTATAATATGTACTGTAATTCACATTGTGAATCTGACATATAAAATTTTCACAAGGTTAACATATAAACAATGTAAATTTTCTACATATATTGTATTGTTATTACATTAACATTTAATCATTTAGACCAAAAGAAATGAAGTAAATGTATGGAATGACAATTTACTTTCAATTCTTTATTCAAAGTAGAAATATAATCACTCCCCCCCACCCACCCACACACCAATATCATATTTTTAATAAAACATGTAATTGTATAACATACATGTAGACATTCACATGAAAATATAAACATCTTTTAAGTATTTAGTAAAGTTCATTATATTTTGATATAGAAACTAACATCAAATTGTAACATAACAAGCATGTATATGTTCTTAAAGAAATTAAAGTGCATCTAAACTTATACTAATTATGAATAGAAAACTATGTTTTAAGTTTTACATTTTTTTCCAATCCTTGAAGTACTATATCCTTTCTCCCCTTTTTTCCCATCCCTTGTTGAGCAAATCTTTTATTTCTTCATTAGTCTTTTTTTGCGAACTTAGCTGTTTGTGCAATGATTTTTGACCTGTATGTGTTTGCGTCACTCAATAGTATCTTTGTCAAATACTTAATGCGTAAATCGTTTAACACACTTTGTTGTTGTTTTGATTCTTTTGGCAACCCACGTGTCTAATTTACTGTTTTATCTCCCATATATGTCTCCATATGACGCATGCAAAAAACTCCACAGTCAACATGATTATACCTCGTGCGCCAATTCATGTTCACCCTTTCTGGTTCAACACCCTCCAAAGTTGAAGCTGATTTGTGATTGACCCTCATTAAGTACCTACTAAAAAGTATTTTCTGCAAAAAAGAAATTGTCATTTTCTATAATTATTATTTTATTTAGATTATCAATCTATTAATACTTATATTTATAATGTAAATTTACTATTCTTACCAATTCATTAGGTGCGTCACGATAAGCTTTAGAAAACTTTGCAACTGAATTCCTATTGTCAATGACATCAACCGCTTGTTCCTCTAAGTTTATGCAGATGATGTAAAAGTGATTTTTTTGATGAACTGGTAAAAACACTTGTTTAATAATTTAAATTGTTAAACTTTGTTTAAAATATGTAATATATTCAACAACAAGAACAGTTTATTACCAAGTGAACTTTTTCAAATGTCAGAAGTTCTTTGTCCTTTTTCATTGCATCACTCAAATTTATCAAATCTTTCATTGAAAGGGATATTTTTGTCAAATGTGAACTGTCTCTGCAAAAAAATTTAAATATACATCAAACATTAAAGAGTAAATTGTTAAATTTACAATAAGGTAAATTTTAAATTTAAAATTATTCACACTGTGAATTATAATGGGATTCACTGTGTGAATTTTCTTACTTAGTCAGAAGTATTGAAAATTTTATTTATTATATTATAAACATTATCATGATATATATTTTTTAATTAACTTACCACCATTGATGTATCAAAGAAATACCGATTCACTGTAGAATTTGGTTTAAGCTTTTCTTCATAGTTCAAAATATTAGTCCAAGCATCAATGACATGTGGATGTACCCATAATCCTGGCTGCATTGTTTCAATCATTCCTCTTCTAAGCACATAAACTCTCTTAGTCTGAAATATCTTCTCACTTAATTTGTAATCAAATAAAACAAAAAATCAGTTAATAGAAAATTAATTTGTATTTATATACTACTATAATTAAATAAAAGATAACATGAATTATTACCTGCTATTACCAATTCTGGAAAAGATTCTATCTGATACTTTTACTTCATCTGGATCTACAAATTTTGATGCACAAACCTCTTTTTTATTATAAGGAGAAGATAGCTTCAATGATGGTTTTTTTTAATCTTTTTCCTACTTCTCATTTTTTGTCTTCATCATCTTCAATTCCCAAGCTATTATTGTCACATTCTGTTTCTTTTGAATCATAACTTTCTCCTTCATCAAGTTTTTCATCTTTTATTTCTTTCTTCATGTGTTCATCTTCACTGCTTTCATCTCCTTCCTGAAACTCTTGTGTTAGACCAAGACCAAGTCCAAGTGAAAAACTAGGCATTGATGATTTTGTAATATTTTTTTTCTTTTTTTTTTATCATCTATTATTGTTTTTTATTTTTTTGTTCTCTAAAACTTTTTACATTTTCAAAATCATCATAATCATCAAAATTTAAAATACATTGAATAGAATCAGCAATCTCATGCATTATTGGATCATTGTACAAATTTCCTGGTGTTACCATGATTGATTGATTCTTTATTTCATGTTCATTCAAATTCTCATCGCTTTTTTCATCATCTTCATTCCTGTGACTTTTTGCATCATCTTCATTTTGAGTTTTATAAATGAATTATTGTTCAAAGACTTTCTTCATATCTTTCAACTCATCGCTTTCTGTGAATTTTGTTGTTGAAAACTCAATTAACTTTCCAAACTTCATTTTATCATTCACTAGTTTTTTGTAATTCTTTTTCGTTTTGAATACAAATTCCTGCGAAATGAGATAAAAAATGTCAATAAAAATGAATTTTTTTTTAACTTTTTTCTATAATAATATATAGTTTCAGAATATTAATGCATTGATGAGGTATCACATTTTTAATGCATTTTAATAAATTACATATTCACTTTGTGAATTTATTATAGAGAAAGTAATAAAATACACTTTTATATTCACAATGTGAATCACTTTATGAATTTCATCTTAACTATAATTTTATAACATATATCTGTAATATAACTTCAATTTTTTTTTAATTATATAGATTATTAACTTACATCGAGTTTCATATCTTCATTTTCATCGGTGTCGGATTCTTCATCATTCTCTATAACATCATCATTCCATTCCAAAGTTCCAAAGTCACCACTCTTTTGTTGGATTAGTGTCTAAGTCCATAACTATTTTGGTATGTACTTGACCCGATTATGAGCATGGTCCTTTTAGGTTGCCTTCACCATAGCAATATGTAGGATGAATTAAGGAGAGAAAGGTTTAATTATGATTTTTTAATATGTTATGAGAATAATATATTAAAGGAGAAATCATATTGTTTAATTAATATTAGTCAAGAATTAATAAAGATGTAATTTTGTGGCTAAAAGAGATTAATTAAACTTAGGGGACTGGAATTGTAATTATAAGATAATTGCAATTGGGCTATGGATCACCTTGGAATAATAGGTTGGACGAATTCTATGGGGAAGACCATTAGAAATCGTCCAAGGAATGTTCTAGAAGGGGTCCATGGGCTGCTTGGGGCTTAAGCAGTCAAATTAGGGTTTCCTTGTTAGATAACCCTAATTGCCTACCTATTTAAAGAACCCTTGAGACCCAAAAACGTGGCTAAGTGTTCCTTTAGGGATTCCAACCGTTTTTGGGTGCCTCCTCTCTCCTCCTTCTTCATCCAATTGCTTAGTGGTGTTTGTGACTCCATTAGAGGTGCAACACTTGAGGCCTAACTCTCTCTCTGAAGCCAAGGAATTGATTGTTATGCTACATAACAATCAAGGTAAGATCTAAACCCTAGTTTATTATGTTAATTTGATAATTGTATGCTAGATCTAGGGTTTATAAGTCTTGGAAGTTTATTGCATGTTCAAAGTAGAAAATATATCTAAGCAATTAGGGTTGCATGAACACCATAGATTGATGTTATGCTCAAACCCATCAGTGGTATCAGAGCCTATGTCGTTTTTCTATTGAATAGATGCATAATTGAACTGCCAAAGACCTGAAAATCGAAATTTCTTGTTGTTTGCCTTATGAACTCGCCGAGTTGCTCCTAGAACTCGACGAGTAGCTTGAACTCGACGAGTTCCAAAGAGGACTCGAAGAGTTGGCTGTTCAGTTGCCGGGTTTTTCGAATTTTTGGTCAAATTTTGATGTGGATAATTACCAAAACACGTTTTTATTGCCTAAAATCAATTTTTTATATTTGGAATGATTATCCTTATCAAAATTGATGGATTTGGTTAAATATGGATATATATATTATTATAAGATAAATATTTGACCTAGTAAGTTTGAAAATTTTCAATTTACACCCTTTAGGTTTTATAGTTTAAATTTGAACTTAATAGTTTTCTTTTTGAAATTTAAATAGTTAAACCCTAATGTTTTGAAAAGTTTCAAAACTTGTCCTCAAGTTTTGGAATTAAAATTTTTGGATTAAAAGTTAATTTTGAAAGATTTAAATTCTAAACCCTAATGTTTTGAAAAGTTCAAAACTTGCCCTCAAGTTTTGGAATTTAAAATTTGATTAAAAGTTATTTTTGAAATAGTAAATTCTAAAACCCTCGTATTTTGAAAAAAAGTTCAAATTACACCCTTATGGTTTTGTTAATTAATTAAAGTGTATAATTAAAAGAGAGTTAATAAATCCATAAAGTTTTTGGTTTATATTTAATTAAATTAAAAGTATAATTAATTAAATTAGACCACCTAGTATTTTAAAAGTACACCCTATACTATGTATATATGACATTAAAAGTCTAATATTATATATGTATGAGTAAACAGTCAGTCTTACCGTTAGTAGGCTCATTCACGAAGCTGGTCTATAAGGGGTGTTTAAGGAAATTGCCTATAAAATGGCGATTGAATGGGTATCCACTCTTACCCACCGCACTCTTGACTAGTGGAGGGTCGTTAGCCGAACGGGTAGGATAGGACGAAACCTTCCATTATAAGTATAATGAAGTACAAAGGAACTACATGCTTTTACAAATTCCCAAAATTCTAGTTACTTTAGGCAAAATGTGAAATTGTATGCTAATCCATGGAATTACACTTCGTACCCTTGTCAAACGTTAGTGGAGTGTGTGTGGTTAACCGGCACACTAATTTGGGATTGACATTGGTGGCGAAGGGTGGCTCGGTGTTTATCGTAGATCAATGGAGCGTGTGTGGCTAACCGGCACATTGATTAGGTGATAGTATCATTGAGTGCATCACGTAGATTCGTATGGTTATTCACACCTTGTTTGTGATCCTCGGCATCCCAGTCGCAAATTTGAAGGGCATAATCGAGATTAAACATGCCATTGAAAAGTTCAATGAATCTCAAAAAGATCTAGGAGTTTCAATTCATTTAAAACTTAAACTTCAATTTTGTTTTTCATGGTGGGAATTGGTAAATCGTCATTTACCTACCTTCAAATATTCTGCAACTAGATTACGGCATCCCTCTTCTAGGTTGTAGAATGTTGTGTTGGATCCTAGCCTTGATGTTTCATTTGGGTGTTACATCAAGGATTCTTATCAACTAACTTGAATTTTCTCCCGCTTTGTAGATGTCTAAATCTTACAATGGTCTTCCCAAGTCCCTTGGAACAAGCTTTCCAAATGAAGATGACGTTCCACGATACGATCAAGGAAATGAGAGTCATGCTTCACTTCCTCCACCTCCTCCAATTATTCTCCCTAACCCACAAGTTCAAAATTTAAGCTCACTCAAGCCCTATTGGCAAGTAAACACGAAGATGGGAAACTTGTGTGTGCACACGTCTTGGAGATAAAGTCACACATTGACATGTTAAGGATGTTGGGTGTCGAGATTTCAGGTGAGTTGGATGTTGACTGGGTTCTTCAGTCACTTCCTGAATCATATAGTGAGTTCGTAAGAAAGTACTATATGATGGAACACGACGTGACCCTCATTGATCTCACCTATTTGCTTATAGCTGCTGAATCAACAATGATTTGGCGTGCTAGTCAAGCAAATTTGTCTAGTGAATCAAACTCCCAAACTTCAATGGACACTGGCAACATTGGAAGTCCAGAAAGGACTAAGCATGAGATTGTCCCATGTTCTGTGCCAAAGGAGTCCATTTTCTTTTATTGCCTAGAGAAGGGGCATTGGAGACGAAGCTGCCCAAACTACCTGAGAGATCTAAGAGATGGGAGAGTCAAGGAATATGGCTCTACTTCAGGTAAAATCCATTATCTAACTCTGTAAGTTCCTATTTTTGATTTTTTTGATTCTTGATACATGATGTGATAAGATTACATTTTGATGTTTTGCAGGATCGAAGAAAAGAGAGGAAGCTTAAGGAAGAAGCATGCTGAATCTGATCATGAAGAAATGGATTTCGATCGCATGGATTCGAAGATTAGATTTTTTGAGCTGCTACTCTAGAGTTAGGATAGAATGATAAGAAATATGAAATAGCATAGTTTTTCAGTTGAATTGCATTGTAAGGACAAATTTTTCCACAATAAAATAAATTTTCATTTTGTCTTATTTATTTATCCTTGCAATGGTGTGTATGAAAAATTGATGTTTAATTGTTTCTATTATTAGCAATAATGGCTTTGATTCTTAATTATGTTATTTGTGGAAATGTCGAGAATTTGCCAAATAAGGGAAGATTCTCATCGCCCAAGTTTCAAATTGGACAGAAACTTGGAATCATACAACTAGGTTGCGTGATGAATGAGAAACTTCATATTTGGAAATTAGACTAATTCTTTGGCAAAGTGTCAAGAAAAGGACTTGGAGATCGAGTACACTAGGTTGTGCGTTGATCAAGTCCACCACAAGAGTGATAAAGATATTCATCATGATTTACTAAAGTTTAGTAAATATGGTTATACTTACAAGATTAAGTATAATTCTGAGTTGATCGAAAGAGTTTCAATCAATAGCAGAACGAATAAGAAGAATCAAGTAGGCAGAAAGATAAAAGTTTCTCTATTCTAAGAAGAAGGGAGAGTACCTTTTATTGTGTTTTATGATAGGTCTTAATGATTAAGAACTATTTCTCAATTGGTCCTCTAAGTGAGTCTTAGTGCATTTGCATGTCTAAGAAGAGGAATCGAGAATTATGGAAATAGTTAAATCAATAAGTCAATCATACTTCGTTCCAATATCAAGTCTTAAGAGTCATACTCCAAGATTCTGACATGAGTGACACGTCTTTAGTAGGTTTATAACACTCAACAAATATGGAATTGGAAAAAGTCTTCTTATTCCTACACATTTGAGATTGGTAAGTTGTGATGTCTTGGATAAGACAAAGACCAACTAGAACCAATTATGTGAAGTGATAGTCTT